TTTTAAGCCTCACAACGAGATTAACTCACTACTGATTAACTCACTAAGCGACATTTTATACGTATGTTTGAATTATTTTTGTGTACTCAAAATTGGTTTTCTCGAAATTCACAATTTTAACCTCAACGGAGAACTTTTGACTGTGAATCGTTCCGAGAATCGGTATTAGACCCAAAAATTTATCTTGGCTTAGACTCCCGCACACGGACTAATGCAACCGAGGACCTTAGTTGGGAAAGGTTGATAAACGTTTTTTTAAATAATATTCCTGCTTTAATAACAAATATTATATTCTGAGTTAAAAATGTAAAAATATCTTCGATAGCAAAATAAATCATTTATGAATTTTACTGTGTACACTTATTTTATAATTTGTTAAAAACCCTCTAGAAATCCCTAACCCAAACTTTTACTACACCCCCTTAAATGTCTTCAAGACCCACTGGGGAGGGGGCTATAACACCCATGTTTTTAACCTATGCTTTATAAGATTCAATAGAAAATAAATTTTTCAAATCTTCAATGTTTAAAAATAAAATTTTTAAAGAAATTGAAATTTTTGTGATTATAACAAAAAAACTGAAAAAAAAAGTAACGTGGGGTGCTCTATTGCCCAAAAAAATCTGGGCCCTAGGCAAATGCTCCTTTACTCAATCCTTACCACGGCTTTGTTTATACAAGAACTTTCGTTCCAAAAAACACACGAATCAAATTTATTTCAGACTAGTTCTGTTGAGTAACGGCAGATGGCAGTAAAGGTAACGTATTCTATTTCCTTCTTCACTTCAAATGACCGGAATTCTCTCCTCAGATGTTTTCAAACCATCCAAGATACGGATATCGATTTTACCGGCTACTATTTTTTAAATGTTGCTTAATATACAATTAGACTCTTTAACTCTAGTTCAAGATTTCATATGAACAATAAAAATCAGTAATGTTTAATTTAATTAGGAAGTGAAAAAGTAACAAATATTGATACCTTCCAAAACGAACAGAATTTAGAAACATAACAGACATTTTTTTTAATCGATCAGCAAAGAAAAATGGTCATTTATATTAGCTAGATGACTAAATATAGATTTACGTTTGTAAATATTATATATTAAAATGGCGGTATCTACTTTCAAAATATAAAACAACAACAGACATTTTTTTAATCGATTAGCAAAGAAAAATGGTCATTAACATTATTTTGATGACTAAATTGAGATTTAAGTATGTATATATTACATATTAATGCCTACGTTTAAAATATAAAACAACAACAGACGTATAATAGACAATTTTTCAATCGATTAGCAGAGAAAAATGGTAATTTACATTAGCTAAATGACTAAAAATAGATTTACGTTTACAAATATTGAAATAACGTTATCTACATTTAAAATATAAAACAACATCAAGCAAACAATATGTAAAATAATTCTTAAAAAAGGGTTAAATAAGAGTAAATCAGATTTCATTCTTTTTTTTTAAAAAAAATGTCTTCCTAATTAAGAAAAATAAAAAAAATTTAGAATCACCATATTATGTAATACAAAGCAGCGTGACAATAACGGCTTTTTACTTTGAGTGAAATTATGTAAGAACTATTATTTTTAATTTCATATTATGTGCAATAAAATTATCAAAAGTATGCTATACAGTTTTTGAGGCGCAAATAAAAGCTAAGGAATACAAAAATTGTACAAGATATGCTTAGAAAATTTTTTTTAATCCTGAAGATTTTAGTTTTTTAGGTTATATATATATANATGTTTCCATAAATATCCAAGCTAGGCTTGAGAAATTTTGTGCACTTATTGCATATAACAACCAAAATAATTTTTAGAATACACGTGCAATATATATATATAATCTTTCATATTGTAAGTAAATCAAAATGAAAGAAATAAAACGCTTTTGAACGCATAGAATATGAATAACAATCACAAACAGCAGCATTATCTGTGCCCAAACAACACAAAATTATTCAAGTATTCATTAAAATAATAAAAGAAAGAAAAGATTTGTCCGAGAAAAAGTTTATTTTCAGATCTTAAATAATTTCAAAATTGATAATTCACAATACCATAAATTATAATCGATGCTTGATGATTTCTTGTATAAAATACAAGTTTTTTTTTATTTTTTTCGAAAACAATATTGGAAAATAAATATTATAGTTTCTTGCTATTTATGTATAATTTTTTGGACAATAAGACAAAAGTAATTTTTACTTTCGCATGGGAAATACTTGTAATTATTATAATTAAATGTTAGAAAGAAATTGAAGATTAATTTTCGTTTAAATTATTTTTATTAAAAAATAAATTTATAAATTGTCCAATAAGTAACAGGAATAATGCTGGGTAATTGGTTTTGATTTACATTAGTAGCTTGTGGCGCTCTGTTGCGGAATTGTATTTGTTTTCTCTCTTATGATAGGAGAGCAGAAATAATCAAACCAGCAGAATAACACAGCAAAATATCCACAAAATAGAGAGCAAAAATGACATACATCATTAAGAGGGCATTATCATACAATCATTGAAAAGTATTAAAGCTGCCGTGTTTGTCACTGATTTCCTTTTCCATTTTTGCATCTTATTTTGGTGGATGCTTATCAATGTGTAGTCTTTTAATGCTGATAGGGTTATTCCTGCTTTCCTGTCATGATGGATAATTTGTTTTGACTTACATTTTCTTCAAAGCCAGTTATAACAAAACTAGTTTCTAGTTATAACATCAGCAGCTTGGCGCTGTTGTGACTTGGAATTATGCGTGTTATTTTTATATTCTTACACTTTGTAAATTAGATTTTTCTTTAAATTGTAGGTAAAAAATGCACAACATATATACAGAGTGTTTTGGTTGCGCTATTAATGTATTGGATCATATAAGAGAAAGAAAGAAATATGCAATGTAAACAAATGATACCAGCTACAAAAACACATTATAAACAATAATCAATAAGTAATCTTTCTCTAATAATACAAAATTCTATTCTATCCTCGATTTTGATAATACAAAACGTCTTCATGTAATTTACAGACATTAACGGAACAGTAAACTTTAATTATCTCCTTCAAATATTAGACCTAAAAAAATTCCATTCATTTTAATTATAAGCCCAATAAAGCGGTCAATAAATATTGCACAAAAATTTTTTCTTTTAAAAAATTTAAGAGTTAGAGAAATAAACGATAAATATTATGAAAAAAACAATGGCGTGTGGCTTAGTTTTCCTAAGCAAAACGTCTGCTTTTATAATATAAAACGCATGCATATAATTTACAGGTACTAATTGAACAGTAAACTCGATTTATTGTTTTGTTAGTAAGTCAGCATTCTGTACTCTATTGTTATATCAATACCAGGCCAACAGAAAATTTTATTATTTTTAGAAAACGAATTAAGTGATATAAAACAACTAAGAAAGTACTTTTTGTCAAATATAAGAGTTAAGAAAATAAGGGATAAAAATTTTAAATTTATAATGTGCGTATAACTTTATTTTTTGAAGCAAAACATCAGTTTTTATAATACAAAACGCATGCATTTAATTTACAAATACTAACGGAAAAGTAAACTTAATAACGTTCTTTAATTAATATGGGATCAGCAGAAAATTTCACTTATTTAATTATATACCAAAATAAGTAATCAATAAAGATTACAAAAGTAATTTTTGTCAAATATATAGGCTAAGGAAATAAGGGATAAAAGTATTGCATGTACAAAGCTTCAATTTAATTTAGAAGCAATATCTTTTCAATTGCAGAAATTAGCTTAAAAAAAATAAATATTCATTTCGCTATAAAAAGTCTTTTAAAATTTAAGTTATATTTTAATTGAGTACAAATTGTAGGCATGAATTTACAGAGCTCAGTTATGAGTGAGGGCAATTAAACATTCTCAAATGCGATTAATTTTTTTAAACCGTAAGAAAATAATGTGAGTTACACTAATAACTATAATTCTATATTCTATTTTGCATTTTTTAAAAGTTCATATTAATATTATTCAGTAAAAGGAAAGTTTTATTTCAAATATTAAGGGGTATATATTTATCTATATATTTTAAAATGTTTTGCTTATCAGCATTTGTTTACATCCTTCGATTCATTCATAATCAATTTTATGTATTCAGAAGTTTGGAAATCTCGCGTGCTGGTATATTTACTTTATACGCTTTCATGAAACTAGTTGCTATTTAACTTTTTTTGTAATTGTGTTTTTAATCGTACCGAAAGACATATAATTGTATTTAACGAAAGTCGATAAACATTTTATTGAAAGAAAAGTTACGAAAATTTAATACCCAAACATTAGAATTAAAATTGTATATAAACAAATAACTAAAATCCGCTTATTTTAATACAATACTAGAAATATTGAATGCGTAATATACAATACTAGAAATATTAAATTAGTAAAAAAAATATATCTTACGTTTAAAAAAAATCTAATTTTCGTTTTTGAAAACGTTTCCTTAATCAATTATATTTAAATCAGTACGTTTAGTAATAATTTTAAAAAGATATTTTTAAAATTATTACTAATCGCCTATTTACTTACAATTTTAGTAAATGCATTTATTAATGCATTTTACTAAAATTATTACGAAATAATAATTTAAGTATATTAATTTTCGTACACGTATATTTAAGTATTAATAATTTTAATAAATGTGCTTAAGAGATTTACTAAAATTTTTACCAGTAATAATTCCAGTAAATATATTACTAAAAATTAATAATTTTTATAATGCAATTGCTAAAATTAATGCGAAATATACAATTTAATTGACTGATTAAAATTTAAGTAATTACATTTTAACGAAGCACAAATTTTAGAGATAAATAAACATGTTCTGTTAAAAACAGGTAAAAAAAGTAAGCGTCCTCCAGGTGTGAGTGAACAGTAAAGTATGTGTGTAAAAAAAGAAAGCATGGCGGACATCTAATTACGGTAAAAATCGCGAAAATACATAAATGAGCGAAACTAAAACTTACCTTGTCATATTGCGAAAATGAGAAAGTGTGCAGAGGGGAGATCTTTTCGAATAGAGGCTATAGAAGATGTCGCTGTTTAACGGGGAAGCCGCCGTAGGGTTGCCATACTTTCGGAGGCATTTTTTAACAAACGTCGAAAATCCGCAGCACAGTTGCAGATGTTCTCACTTGCATATGTGGTTAACACTGAATTCCGATGATAATAATACACGTGCACCCCTAATGAGCTTTTCATTTTTTTTTTTAACGGAAAACTAGATAACTAATGCTTACAACTTTGAAGTGAAAAAAAATTATCGAAAAAACTCTGATTCTGAAATAGGAATTAATGACTAATGTTAAAAAATGTTCTGGAATTCAATAACGAGATAAGCTGAACACATTAATTTCGTACAATAAAAATATTAGAATTTTAAATGCAGTTTCTATATTTTTTCCTGATGTAAAAAAAAAAACAATTAAAAATGTTGTTTTTTTACATCAGGAAATATTATATATATATATATATATATATATACTATTTTTACAGAAAAGTCATGCAATATTGAATACATTTTTCACTCTCAGTTCCTGGTTTTTGTTNTATACATATATGTATATATATAGAAAGTAAACAATCTAAGTAGCTTCCAAATCAATCGCTGGAAGAAAAAAAAATGAGTAATGCAAAAGAAGAGAAGAAAATAAGTTTGGGTTGTACCACATGACCCAGAGAAAGGCGTTTTCTAACTGTTTCATGCTTTTGAAAAGCTAAATTACAATGGAATACGTGTCAAGAACGCTAAAAATAAATGTTTTTCAAAAATACGTCAGAAATAAAAAAAATAAATATATATATATATATATATAAGAACTTGTTTTTTTCTTGGTGCTNATATATATAAAGCAGAAAAACAAAATTACCAGTAGTTGGCGGGATATGATAAACTAAATATGTATTAAGGTTTAAAGTACACCCACACTTCATTCAGCGGCTACGTTCTGTTACTTAAATTTTTATTTATTTTCTGCGTTCTTTTTCATTTTTTTTACGCAATTGGCCTAAAACACCTCATATACTTGGTAATTTTAATAGAAATATTAGATATTTTACTCTACCATTTTCTCTTTGTATTCTATTTCCAATATATATATATATATATGTATGTATATATATATAAAATCAATGACTTAAAAAAATCGTAAAATTAATGAATTATCGTGTAAACGAATAAACAAAATTTTATTTTATTACTGTCGTAGAACAGTCGACCTAATATTTTGGGCTTATGAATACAAATGTACAACTCGTAGCCTTGTAATCTTGAACCCTATCCAGAAGACAAGGGAACTCCTGGATAAAGTATAGGAAGAAATTTGCCTTCGTGGAGGACTTTTCTATGGAACAAATCCGCATTTACTTTACAAGGAGAGGAAAATTACACAAAAACCTCACACGATTAGCCTATTGGCAAAAAGGGGACTCTAACCCATGATTCGTCTACCATGAGAATATTTTATGTCAGCATAGTGGTCGGTGCGTGCCGTGTGCGAAATTCGGATCGACCAGCCATCGTTTGGATTCGAAGCCGGTTCACTTTATTGGAAGGCTCTATTCCCTGTGCCACCACAGTTCCAATAAATGAAATTAATGAAATCTCTGAATCAATGCGTCAGGAAATCAATACTTCAACAAATCAGTAAGATTAATGAATTATAAGTGCATCGCCGATTCATTGATCTAGTTTTTTATTGATTCGTTGGTTCACCAATAAACTGATTTACTCATTGATGCCTTTGGTGATGCATTGGTTCGTTGGCCTGTTAATTGGCTCATTTATTAATACGCTTATTCATTGTATGTGGGGATTTAAATAATTTTCCCAAATTTGCTCTTAAACTTATTTGTTTGATTTAATTAATTACTTTTGCCTGTAACGAGATTCCAAAAGAAAATCACATTAACAGCTGAAACAAAATTTTACACTCGTTTTCCAGACATTTTAAATTTTTACTAATAACTTCGCTTTTAAATGAATTTCAGCTATTTAAGGTAAGCAAATCCATTCTATATGCTTTGAATAACGGATTAAATAGTTTATTACCCATTGGGAAAATAAATGTTGCTCTAGGTTTTTCAGGTCCGCACACTTTTCGACTAGATTAATTTCATGGACTAGATCACCATCAGCGCCATAACCAGAAATAAGGAGTTGTAAGAATCATTAAAAAATAAGGCCAACACAATCATTCATAAAAAAGCACGATAAGATCAAATTTAAAAAAAAAAAGCAGACGATAATTTTGGAACTTCTAAGAATTGTTTTCCCGGCTAGGTAAAACATGCACCAGCGTGCATTTTTACTGTTTTTACATAATATTAGAGAATTTTTAGGTTCTTTTTATAATTAACTTATTCATAATTACTGCCTTTGAGGTGATTATAGAAATATGATTGATAAAGAAGGAAAATAATTTTGAGGCTTTTAACAACGTAAATTCGCTGGACTGCAATCCAGCTAGTTAGATGACTTGCAAAAAAACATCAATTCACTTGAAACGTTGTGGCGCTTATAAATTTTATAATTCTATATGTACTTATTTTTAGTTGACAGAATAATTTAATACTAGCGTTTTTTTTTTTAAATATTATTAATTTTGCTTCTAATTAATTTTGTACTTCATTTTAATACATTCCAAATGCAATTATTTAATATCAAATATCATACCGTAGAGACAATATAAGATTAAGATATTAACTTAAAAGTTTTTCTTTTTTGTACAGACATTGTTAAGAAATGGTCACATTTAAGCGCTTGCCAATCAACAAAATCTGTGATTTTTTAATGACTTTTTTTATTTTCACTCTTTTTGACCAGTTTAGGTGACAGTAGATTCACAACTATGTGTTTTATTATTTATTTAATTTTAGCATCCGCGTCTAAGACAAAAGTTGAGATAAAAAAATAAACTATGAAATATAGAAGAAAATCTATAGTAATGAAGTCACAAACAGTTGTGATAAAAAAAGAATTTTATATTAAAAGAGAAGCCATATCAAAGTCTATAACAGTCAATGTAAAAAGAAGAAAAATAAAGCATCTAATCTTTTCTTCAGCTTTCCTCATACCATAACTTTTCAATCTTGTCTTCTACAGACATCTCGGATCCAGCGATGTTTTCAGAAAATAAGGAAGATAAATTCAAATATCTTGTTCATTTTTTGCTCTACACTAAATTTTCAATTAATTTGGAGAAAAAAAAAGAAGACATTTTTTGATGAAAAAATTTGCTTTTGAGTGCGAATTGGGAAAGGACTGTAAAAACGCATTTTTAAAAAACATTTCTTTTTTACTGTTTCGGTTGTTGGGAAATAAAAATATATCAAATTTGAATGCGTTTAAAGCGTTCTTTAATTTTTCTAGAAGCAGTAAAGATATGAAATAAAATATATTTATATATAATACAAGGTACATACAAAATAACGAGAAAAGCTCACATCACATTAAATTTTTGAGTCGTTTGACAGGTAATGTCTTACGTACAATGTGTGTCGGACTTCTATTTAACGAACTTCTATTTTACGAATTTCTCTATTTTGCAATTTTGTTCGAGAAACCAAGAACATTTTGGAAATTTCTTTGTAAAATAGCTTCCAAATAGTGAAGTGAATTTTCTGTATAGCGAACTTTTCTTTGAGATCCTCTTTCTCTATTCCTCAAAATATTTCAGAACATTTCAAACTTGTTAATGTATTTTATGGGGAAAATTAATTTTCGAAACCACCTAACTTTTAGAAAAAGCAGTAAAATCCCTTTTTGCTTGCATTTCAAACGAAAAACTCAGACAAAATTAACGGATTTAATCAGTAACAATTAAGAACGCATGTGGTAATGTATATTTAAAATTACTTTTATAATAAATGCAGCTATAATTTTATTTATAAATTTAGATTTTTTTAGTTGAAAATGTATGTAGCATGATAATGTAACACTGGATAATGTTTTGCTCTATTCTTGTTTATCATGCAGATTTCTTTTATGGTTAAGATTAATAAAATAAATAGTAGATAATAATTTACAAGATAAAGGCGTATCAATTGCTATTTTTATTATCTCCAGTGTTTATAAATTTAAAACCTGTTTTGTGTTGTTTAAGTATTTCAAAAATGCTTTTCGATTAAAAGATGCTTTAACGAATTTTCCATTTAGCGAATTTTCCATCAGGATTCAGCGACTGCGATATATATANCTATATGTATATATATATATATATATATATATGAACATGGTGTGCATACTTATTAAAGCATGCAATTTGCAATTTCGGTTTGTAAATAAATTACCGAAATTCACCTTAAGGAAATATTTGAAACTTCAGGTATAATGTATGAAATAAATAAATGAATGTTGATCAAATTAGCATATTATAATTTTCTGTATCTTGCAATCTTTTTTTTCTGCCTTCCACCGAAATTTTCATTTTATAATCATCATTTCATCGAAATTTTCTTTTCAGTCACCATGAAACTTATACAAACTAGCAATGAGGATCGAAGTGGTTAAAACTTGTTACAAAAATAATGAATCTATTTGGGCTGTGCTTCGCAGACTACGTGAAATTTATGGTTAACTTACAGAGCTTGTAATTTATTTGGAAAATTCAAGCAATATTTGTGACGTTAAGAATCAAATTCCTGAAAATATCAGTACTGTAAACCAAAATGTGTATAGAAATCGAGAGTAATAAATATGTAATTTCAAGAAGGTGGATTACCTTATGGAACTAAATAGATTATAAAAATTTGCATTTTAAGGCTTATAAAATTCACTTGATCCAAAAAATTAAATTAGTCATTTATTGTGCAGATTGGTTTATATTAAAAGAAAAGAACATCTTTAACAGTGTAACACGACTTCGTATATTGTTCATGAAAAATCTTCACAAAAACGAGCATTTAGTGTAGTTTCTATTCTGGTGGTGCGAAGTTATATTTTTATTAAAATAAAAATGACAATGTGGTTACCATCATTAAAGAACGCCACAGAAGAAATATTACTGATTCTTTTTAACTTAAATCAAACTATTTTTATATGGGTTATATTTGACTTCAACATGATGGTGCAACTTGCCATACTTAATGTGACACAATTAATTCATTGAGCTAAAAG